CCTCCCAGCCCTCGAGTCTGACAGCAGTTGGGCAGCACCTTCATTGCAGCGAGACTCACTTCCTGGCAGGGCTGAGGAGGCAGGGGTGCCTGTGTGCTGCCTGACAGGCCCTGATGACTGAGCCTTGGTTTTGCAGGGAGGAGAGGGAGGGCAGGATGTGGCAGGCTGAGCCAGGAGTTGGGCTGAATCGTTGGGTCCGCGCCAGAGACCCTGGCTGCCTTCAGCCGGTATCATCCCCCCGTTTGTCTGCTAAATAATTGAGCAGATTTTCTATTAAGCCTCCTTTGGAGTGAGCTAATGGAGCAGCATTGGCCGGAGCTTATGTAAGGATCCTGGCAAGAGTGAGTGGCAGGAGAAGTGGCAAGGCCCAACGGTGAGGCTGTTCGTCCCCTGTGTGCGAGGCCATGTTGTAATTAGGACTGGGCATATAGGTTGGAAGAGGCTTTGTGGAAAACGAGTGGCCATCCCAGAGTGGAGATGAGCCTTGTTGTGCTGGGGCTCAGCTGCCGCTCTGCTCCTCAGGCTTCCCCCATGCCCCGTAGACACCATCCACTTGGAGGCAAGGGGAGTGAGGCTGTTCCCCAGCCCTGCCGAGGCCAATGCTCTCAGTGTGAGTCTGGAGGGTTAGGGCACATACACGGAGCCAGCAAACTTGTCTGCAGCACAACTGTATAAGACCTAAGCAGCCTTCAGGGTGTATCTCTCAGGAACTTCTGCCCAAAAGATGGAGGGCACAGAGGGAAGAGCACTGTGGTCACCAGGAGCATAGTGCTACCAGCCAGCAGAGCACAGGATGTGGATCCTGGGCCAGAAACAACCACACTGTGCTAGTGGGATGCTGAGCACAAGCCAGAGGGACTTGCCAGGAGGAGCAGCACTGGGCTGATGTGTTGTTGGGGTAATTCTGGGTGGATCTCCACACTCTTCTTCTTTACACAGTACAGATGGGTGTAGAGGGATGGACTGGCAGGAGGGAGGAGACGGAGAAGTTCCTGGGCTGAAGTAACACATTGGTGAGCCAGGTGGGGGAGGCAAGCTCAGCAGACTCTGTTCAATTGCTAGATGGTTTTGGGGTCACCTCCACCGGAAAAGTCATAGAAGATTCTAGTCTGCAGTTACTAAACTCAGCCTGGCCACCCGCCCGCATGCTTGAGCCCTGCTGGGACCCTGGGGACTTGGCTGGTCCCCACTGGACATGGTAGTTCTCTGCGGTCCCGTAGGACACTGTGATTACTGATCACTAAACACTAATGCTCCTTCAGCACATACTGATGAGCAAGCTGTGGTGGAAGGAGGTACAGGAGTAGACCTTTCATGGACCACTCAGACTAAAGGAGTCCTTGCTACCTTGCCATAAAAACTCAGAAAATGAGTGGTACACAAGTCTTGCAGTATGTAACCTATCAGGGTGAGTGTGAGCCAGAGCACGGAGGAGTGACTAGCCCAGACCTAGGTTTCATGGTTAAAAAAGGAGTCTGGCCTTACTGACCTTACTGTTTTTATAAGCTGCCAGCTCTAAACGCTGCATCCTGAACAGTGGGACTGCCAAGGCTGGGATCTCCATCCCCTTGGGGCTGTCAGGCACACTGGGTGGCAGGAGCCGGTGTTGTGCTGTCCAGCCTTTGCAAAGTAGCCTTTGGTACTTTGAGCTCTTTGGAAAACCATGAGCATTGTGGAAAGGATTCAGGTCCAACCGTGTCCATCATGTGTCCAGCCCTAGCAGCAGGATGGCATTCAGCATGCCCGCGTTGCCCTGGCTGAGATGTGAAGTGCCAGGAGAGACGGGAGTCAGCATTGGAGTCTGGTCCCCAAAGCTAGTCCTTCATCCCCACGTGCGCAGGTGCAGGTCCCTGCATGCCAGGGACACTGCTTTGTGGTGACCTGTTACTTTACCCTGTGGTGTCAAGGAGCGGGAGGCCAGTATGGCAGTGAGCCGGGGCTGTAATGGTGCAGATGGCTGCCAAGAGAGGACGGTATATTCCTCAGGGACCATCCATTACATTTCCCAGCCCCTGCCTGTCAGGGAGGCTGTGCTCATGGCTATGTTTTTCCTTGCTGAGATGATTTGCCTTTCAGGCTGCTTAATGAACAGCTTCAACAGTTCAAACTGCCTTGCCTTGCTCATTGGAGCAGCAATGTGGTGCGGGGTCCTTTCTGAGCACCAGAAAGGTGTGAAATGCAGCACCAGGGTTTTCCTGGGTAAAGGCAGCGGGGAGCCCTTGGGAGTGACACTGATACAAATCTCGGATATGCTGTCCCTGACATAGTGGGGCTCAGCCTTTCTACAGGGATAGGAGAGTTGCAGCCAGGCTAGAAGAGCTCTCCTTGTCTTCTCAAGGCTAGAGTGTCCCCAGAGAGGCCCTCAGGAGCTTTCTTACACTCCAGTTGGCCTGAACTTCCCCCAAGCTTCAGTCATTAGTCTCAGCTGAGGATTCAGGTTTGCAGGAGCACTAATGCCTGGGAAGCTGATGTTGACACCAGGGAGGGGGAAGGTTTGTGAGGAGGCCTACAACAATAGCGACAGAAGAGCAGTGGGTAGGTAACACCAACTCCAGCTGCTGGAGCCCAGAGCAGCACTTCACCTTTCCTTTCAGAGGAAGACATGGTGCTTAGATGTGGCATGTGCTCCAGCACAGGCTCAGCACCGTCTTGCCAGGGGTGGACCACGCTTGGGGCAGTGCCTTTGTCGGGTTTGGACCCTGGGCCCTCTCAGCAGTGTCTCCTCTCTTTCCCAGGGCAAATTCAAACCATCCTTCCCATGGGCTCCCTGTCCAGGTGCAAAGCCAGGGGATGGCATTGCCTCAGCTCCATCCTCAAGGGGCAAGATGCCACTGACCTATCCATCCAACACCAAAGCACCTCACCACACCCCAGCAGCACCCCGGCATGGCCAGCTCAGCATCCTGGGCTCGTCAGGAGCACTGCGCTAATGCAAGGCAACAGGGCCCACAGTGGCAGGCATGCGAGGAGCGAGGGCACAGGCCAGCGGGGCCTGTCGCTCCGCATCCTGTCACCTTCCCCAGCTGCCAAGCAGCGGCTGTGGGGGCGCACGGCAGCAGGGCACATATCGCATGAAGCTGTACACAAGGTCAGTGTCAGGAGGGGCACCGGGTGGCTGCTGTTGCCTCAGGATAGCTGCTCTCCCCAACACTCTCCCCTCCTTGGATGGATGGGGGGGTTCTGACAAGCGCTTTGGGCACAGTTGACTTTTTGCTGGGAAAAAAGTTGCTTGTTTCCGGCTGAGAAAGTTGAAGGACAGGCGCTAGAGGTGTCCTGATGCCCCAGGGACCTTCCCCTCCCACCAGCTGCAGGACTGCCAGCAGCTCTTGGGGCAGGGGTGCACAGCCGTGGGGGGCTGTGGGCTGGGGGGGAGGTTTGCAAAGAGTCCTGGTCCCTGGTTTTGGGTTGTATCTGAGCTGCGCTCCTGCCTGCAGGGTGGCCCCGTGATGTAGGTGACAGCCACATGCTCCTGCTCTGGCTGTGGAGCAGGCAGTGGTGGCCAGCAGATGGGGGGACATCTTTATCCCTCTGCGGGATCACACAAGCATTACGGGGGGGGGGAGGGGCAGAGCCACTCCCTCCACTGGGGACAATGCAAGGCTGGGCCCTGGAGAAACGTGCAGGTACCCGGTGAGGTGAGGGCTCCATCTGCAGAGAGTGCCGGGACTCAGCCAAAGACAGGGCCAGTCTGACCCTGAGCAGGTCTCTCCAAGGTGCCTCTCCCCTGCTCATCCCTATTGAGGTCTGGATGTGCCCTTGTGTCAGTTGGCACTGCTTCGTCCCCAGCTCCCAGGCATCACTGGGGACCTGCCCTCCTGGGGACAAGCCACTGGACACTCCTCTCGTACCATCCCCAGCCCACCAGCTCAGTCTCGGCACATTTAACCCCCTTGCCGAGGCCAACCTAGTGCCGTTTGATGAGAACAGAGGCTGTGAGCCCGGTGCAAATCGCCTGGCTCTGTGTGCTGGACCAGCCGGAATTTGGGGCTCCCTTAGACCCCCCCAGACTTCTGCCTCTGCGCCCATGGGATGCGGGGCAGCTCCACGCCACTGCCCTGCAAGGGCAAGGAGACTCTCAGCCCAGTGTGAGCTTAAAAAAATAGGCATTTTTATTCCAATGTAACTAGAGAATTACGACCCAAGAGAGGAGAGGATTACTCACATTTATCGATAGGCTTATTAGATTACTGCCTAAATAGCTGTGCTTTAGCAGTGCGTTTGTCCGCCTCAAGGAGAAGCAGCGAAGGAGGGTGGTGCATCTGAGACCTCATCGTCCTTGGCGACATGGGGAGCTCTGAGCAATGCGGGCCAGGGAACTGTATCACATCACCTAATCCCACCTTGATTATTTACAGCTTCTTGGGAGGCAAAAGCTTGTAACGTTTGCTTGGCTGCACGGGTGGTCAGGTGCTGAGCTCCATCCCTCCTGCGTGGCCACATTCAGGGGTGGGGAGGCACGTACCCCGCCTTGTGGTGGGGGCACGCCCCCCCCCCCCCGCTGCTGGCCATGGCATGCTGATGGGGACCATCATGGGCTGGGAGAGGATGGTGGCACCGCCATCCCCGGGAGCCCTGGCCTGAACAAGGCTAGTGCCCCACTCATCGCAGCTATACCTTGGCCTGGGTGGTCCATGGCAGTGGCGCCGAGTTGGCCCAGGAACGTGGCAGACTGCCAGCCCCGGTGTCACCACTGGGGAGTTTGGCTGCCCGAATGAAATGGGGGGTTTCTCAGGCATGCTGGGTTCTTCAGTGTTACCCTTGTGCTAATGAGGCTCTTACCAGTGGCTTGCATAAGGAGCTCTTGCTGGGTGCCAACGTGCCCCTGGCCCAAAACCCACCAGGGGCTCCTCGCTGAAGCAGTTGCGGGTGAGGCTGATCACCCTCGTGGGTCACAGTCAAGCTGGGAATTCAGGGTGCCCAATAATCCTGCTCCTAGTAGCGATGGAGAACAGCTCTCAGGAAGCCCCAGCTCTCCTCCCAGATCCCTCTCTCCTGCCCTGCTACGACACGATGGGGGTGTCCGAAAAGACGGAGCTGATGGACTCAGAGTCCGACTTGAGCTGCAGGACCTTGGGGTGCTTGGTGTCGGGGAAGTCCTCGCTGAGGGCCAGGCGGATTTTGCCATTCTGCGTCTCCCTGACGGGCTCAAGGAAGACAACGTGCTTGTTGGCGCTGACTTTGCGGTTTGGCCCATCGGTGGCGGGGGGAGTGGCGCTGAGGATGGAGGACTGGGCACTGCACTCCTGCGGAGGGCTGAGAGGAGCCGGCTTTTTGCAGCAGCTCAGGCAGCGGCAGGGCGTGAGGTACAAGTAAATGAGCACGAGCAGCAGGCTCACAATGCACCCCAGCAGGGTTGTGAGGCCAGTGCTGAAGGTCTCCCCATCCGGCTTGGGGTAGTGGACCGTCACGTTGACTTCGCACAGCCTGCTGAAATTGTGGGGGCTGTTGATGGCCAAGCCCACATAGACCCCCGAGTGCCAGGGCTTGGCCACTGCAATCTTCAGGCTGCCCGCCAAGGAGGGTTTGCTGTTCCCTGGGTGTTTGATGGGCTCGTGGTGAGGGGAGATCATCATGTAGTGTGTGGCCACAGCTGGCAGGCTGGTGTTGCAGGCAAGCAGGAGGGTCTGGCCCACTATCACAGGCAAGGGCACAGGGTGCACATCTTCGGGGCCCGCTGAGCAGTTCTCAAACATGTGACTGTATTTGAGGAACTTGATCAGGGACCGGGGCACATTGTCGGACACCTTGCAGGTATGTTCCTCAAAGAAATCCTTCACGGAGCTGAAACCTCGCTGCTTCCAGCGCTGGAGCATGAGGTAGAGCGGGCAGCTGCACCTGACGGGGTTGTTGTG